GTCCACTGGACAACTACCGATAACAGATCATTGCACCGGCCGCTGCCAGTGCCAGGTGATTGCTATGACCAATTACATGACAATTGAAAACAATGAAGGCCTTTAAGAGCTGATTCACACATGTGCGGTGCAGACTGAAGCTCAGGTTTCACAGCTAATTGATACAATAGTTGTTCAGCGGTTCAGGTCAGGATTAGCTCAGGATTTTATCCTGTTCACACATATGCGTTTTAGAAACAGTTCCAATAGAAGTCAATAGCCAGTAATCTGCACCTGAAATGAAAGGCACTGCTCAGAAATGGTATATGACTCTTTTTAAAACCAATCTGCACCACCATTGCACCAGACAAATGTGAACAGGCACCATAGGAAGCAATGTTATTTCACATCATGCGGATTGAATGCCGTCGAAACCACATATAATCTGCATACATTTGAACCGGAATTGATTCATGCCATTCATTGTGTACAATTTTGTTGCTAGCTGTGATTGGTTACAGTGATCACATAGTACAGACAGGGCCAATCACCGCCCATACGTGCCATGTGATTAGCCATGTGCCATGTGGTCAATCACAGCTAATCACAACAACACAAACTGAATGAATCAATTTCATCTAGTAAAAATGGTTGCTCATATTAATGAAATTCAATTGTATAAGTAATCATAATGTGTAAAAGAAAAAAAAAGTCCTGATTACTTACCCAGAGTAGTACAATGTTACTATGGTAACATTATGGTGCTCTAGTCACAGTGTTTTAAAAAAAAAAAAATCGTAAATCGTAATAAAAAAAGAAAAACATTTTTTAAAAAATGTTTTTTTGTTTTTGTTTTGTTTTTACATACTATCACCAGTCAGTGTTCCTGATCACCACCACATCAGGTATAGGATTATGCTGTACTGAACTGGTGATAGTATGTAAACAAAATTAAAAATATTTTCTTTAATGTCTTCATTTTCAAAAAAACTATTCCAAAATAATTACAACTTCTAAAAACTCGCCATGCCTCTTACTTAATACCTTGGAGTGTCTACTTTCCAAAAATGGGTAATTTGGGGGGTATTTATGCTGTCCTGACATTTTTGGGCCTCAAGAAATGAGAAGTGATCGATTTTCATATATATATATTTATATATATATATATATATATATATATCGATCGATCCCGATGAACTGATATATATATATTTATATATATAAATATATATATATATATTATTATTATTATTATTACTACGAGTTTATATAGCGCCAAAGGGTTTGCTCAGCGCTGTACAATAGGGGGGACAATACATGGCACAGTACAACAACAACAAACAACGTACGAGGGGTAAGAGGGCCCTACTCTTACGAGCTTACAATCTAGGAATATACACAAACACCATAGTTTGTGGACTGTATACCTTTCCTATACCAAATAATAAACACTGATTTGGGGTTATTTTCACAAAAGAAATGTAGCAGAATACATTTAGCCTAAATTTATCAAGAAATATTTATTTGCTAAATTTTATTACAGAAACAAAGAAAAATGTGGGGAGATTTTTCAAAATTTTCAGTCTCTTTTTGTTTATTTAGCAAGAAATAAAAAAATCCAGTGGTGTTTAAATACCATCAAAAGAAAGCACTATTTGTGTGAAAAAAAAAATTATAATAATTTCATATGGGTTCAGTGTTGCATGTCATACAAAGTTCGACAGTGCTGCAAGCTGAAAATTTGTCTGGGCAAAAAGAGGGTGCAAGTGTCCGGTATTGAAGAGGTTAAAGCAGACCTTCATCCTCCCCAACTGCTTAGCAATCCTCCCACTCCCGGTCTCACTGTTAGCCTTTTTATTTCATCCTAATATACACTTTTTGGGTAGGACATCTCCTGGGATTTTCACCTAGGCAAGAATAATATCCCCCTGGCCCACAGCCTCCGAAAATACCCACACCCTAGGTCCCTAATCGCAAGATTACTGTACTATGTATATGTGTCACCAGGGGCCAGGTGGCTCTTCCTGTTTCTTGCAGCTGGCCCCCTAATTACACACAGGAGTACATACACATCATCAGCAAGGACCTAGAAGAGACAGCAGCCCCCTAATGATGTCACTGAAGAAGATGGTGGTGCAGGATCCGGTTTATGGTGGATGATCAGCAGACTGCAACAGGACAAAGCCAGATCCAAAAGACTTCAGAGTATGTAATCTGATGATAAAAAGATAAGAGAAGATTAAAATAAAATTGCACTGCGGTATGAAGTTCCTCTTTAACTGCTTGCCTACCGGGCCAATTTTGACATTTTTCATGTACATGTTAAATTCAACATTTATTTTTGCTAGATGATGACTTAGAACCCACAAACATTACATATTTTCCGAAAGCAGAGCCTCTGAAGAATAAAATGGTGGTTGTTGCAACTTTTTTGTGCAGCCATTATCAAATGCAAATTTCAGAAAAAGATACAGTTAAAGGAAATTTAGTGCACACAAAACACCAATATAATACCTAAATTATTTGGAAAAATATAAAAGATGATGTTGCACCCAGTAAATAGATACCAAAAATGTCAAGGTATAAATTTGTTGTACTTGTGAAATGGCAAAAAAACTACAGTGCCTAAAATTGTCCACAGGTGATGCTTTAACAGCCTTTGCATGATATCAGTTTAGAGTTACATGTGAGATATACTGCTAGAATTATTGCTCTCACTTTGACGTCTGGTGCAATACCTCACGTGTGGTGCAATCACCGTTTACATATGTGTGTGGGACCTACATGCACTTTTGCCTGTGAGCATGGGGGGACGGGCGTGCTTTTACATTTTTTTTTTTATTTAAATTTTACTTTTTATACTTTTTTAATTTTTTTTCATTTAACTTTATTGTTATCACAAGGGGTGAAAAAGACCCCTAGTGACCACTTTGGGCAGTGACAGGTACTCTTTATATCTCCTCTGCCCTTCAAAACATCTGATCAAACACAGATCTCTTTGATCAGCTCCTTCACTGACTGAACTGGCCAGGGTATGACAGCTCTGAAACTGAAAGTGACAAAATCCTTGCTTAATTAATCATAGAGGAGATGGGGGACTGGATGTTCCTTCACCTCCTTTCTGGGCAGCCAACCAAACCGCTTGCAGCAGTCCTGGGCTTTCTGGTGGAATGGTGGCAGGTGAGAGGCTTTTTTGAGCTTGGTAAAAGTGATTGGGTGTCTGCAAAGCGTATTAAATCACCTATATTGGAAAGCAGATTGCTGGCTCTAAAATTAACAGGACCAGGGCCTGTTTCACACCTATGCAGGTTGCAGTTTATGTGTTTTCCCAATGCGGTTTCCATTTTTTTATATGTGTCTTTTTCAAGGCACTGTATGTTGGGCAGCAAGCTGTTAAAGTGCTGGTGCTACCTGTGTGGATATAAAGCTGGGATATCATCCTAAGGCCTCATGCACACTTGCCTTTTAGCCCCATTTATTAGATCCCAGCACTTTGGTGTGGACACTTGGCACAGGCGCACCATCCAGCCTCGCAGTCTGTAAACTCTATGAGAGTGTGTCAGCTGCTGTGCCTTGATGGTGCACTTAAAGATTCTAACATTTAGGCCCCATTCACATATCACATAGTGGGGACAATTATTCCCATTCTTAATTTTGTGTGCGCAATATTCATGTGAGTCACGCATAGCGCAGCCTATTCACTTGAATGGGCTGTCCTATGCATGTTTTTCAAGCAGTGGAAGCTCATGCACCTTTTTAGGCGATAAGCTTCGTGCAATTTTATAAATGTGTGTTTTGCTGCATTTCTGACAATCTTGGCAAATTAATGGCACCCAAATGTGTACCACGTGTTTAGCTGTGATTCCAAATCGCGAACGTGCCCTTGCGGCGGAACGTGCCCAGGAACACAAACAATTCAGGTACTTGTCCCTGAAGCTTTGCAGGCTGTTGCCAGTGTTTGGATGGTGCACCTGTGCCTTTTGCTGACACCAAAATGCCAGCATCTCATACATCAGTGCTAAAAGACCAGTGCCCTTGAGGTCCCATTACAACTGGCTTTCATAAACTATGACCCCCCCCCCAGACAGATCATGATCCGGATACATGAGCCCCTTTGCAAACAATATATTGGGACGCCTGCCTTTACACGTACATGAACTTTAATGGTATCCTAGTCCGTAGGGTTCAGTATTGAGTTGGCCCACCCTTTTCAGCTATAACAGATTCATCTCTTCTGGGAAGGCTGTCCACAAGGTTTAGGAGTGTGTCTATGGGAATGTTTGACCATTCTTCCAGAAGTACATTTGTGAGCTTGGGCACTGATGTTGGATGAGAAGACCTGGCTTGCAGTCTCCGCTCTAATTCATCCCAAAGGTGTTCTATCGGGTTGAGGTCTGGACTCTGTGCAGGTCAGTCAAGTTCCTCCACCCCAAACTCACTCATCCATGTCTTTATGGACCTTGCTTTGTGCACTGGTGTGCAGTCATGTTGGGATAGGAAGGGGCCATCCCCAAACTGTTCCCACAAAGATGGGAGCAGGAAATTGTCCAAAATGTCTTGGTATGCTTACGCCTTAAGGGTTCCCTTCACTGGAACTAAGGGGCCAAGCCCAACCCCTGAAAAACAACCCCACACCATTATCCCCCCTCCACCAAACTTTACACTTGGCACAATGCAGTCAGGCAAGGACTGTTCTTCAAGCAAAACCAAACCCAGACATGTCCGTCGGATTACAAGTGGAGCATGATTGGTCACTTCAGAGAACATGTTTCCACTGCTCTAGAGTCCAGTGGCGGCGTGCTTTACACCACTGCATCCGACACTTTGTATTACACTTGATGATGTAAGGCTTGGATGCAGCTGCTTGGCCATGGAAACCCATTCCATGAAGCTCTCTATGCACTGTTGTTGTGCTAATCTGAAGGCCACGTGAAGTTTGGAGGACTTTAGCTATTGACTCTGCAGTTGGCAACTTCTGCTCACTGTGTGCTTCGGCATGAGCTGACCCCCTTTCATTTTATATGGCCTACCACTTCGTGGCTGAGTTGCTGTTGTTCCCAGTTGCTTCCACTTTGTTATAATACCACTAACAGTTGACCGTGGAATATTTAGTAGCAAAGAAATTTCATGGATGGGCCTAATGCCCAGGTGACAACCTATCACAGTACCACACGTGAATTCACTGAGCTCCTGAGAGCGACCCATTCTTTCACAAATGTTTGTAGAAGTAGTCTGCATGCCTAGGAGCTTGATTTTATACACCTGTGGATATGGAGGGGATTGAATCCAATGGTTTGGAGGGGTGTCCCAATACTTTTGGCAATACAGTGTACTTCAGGTATACCCAGTCTATCAAGAGCCCTGAGGTGAACTAGCAACACACATAGAACATTCTACCAATCTAGGAGCTCCTGACACACTCAGTCCCTACATTCCAGAACTCCAGTCAGGGACCTCCCCCGTGCCCCGCCCACACCATTGTCGTCTCCCTCCGCCCAAACACTCGACGCAGCTGTCATCTCAACCAAACATGAGACGCGGCTGCGTCAGCATACGCTCGACGAATGTGCGCGATTCATTCCCCTGCCACGCCTTCCGTCATTCATTGGCTATGGACAGTTCTGTTAGTAGCTAACGGAGGCTAGCAGGTTAGGTGTGCCTGCTATCAGACGGAGGGGAGCCCCGCCTGCAACCGTCACACCGGCCGCGGCTTGGCGCAGGCTGGATCGGAGAACGCGGTGACGTGGGGGGGAGAGCCGGGGCTACAGGCAGCAACCATGGCCGCGGTAATGTCTCTTCGGCTGTGTCCGCCTATGTCTGCTGGGGACAGGGGGACCGGCTGCTTCCGCCTACACCGTGTCTCTTCTATAGGGGAGGTGTACTCTCCAGTGTGGATTCCACGACTACAGCTCCCCGCCTCAGCCTGGCAGTCGTACGAGGGCTGTAGAGGGCAGAGCTCAGTGTAGACGGGGCGGTGGGTGAGGAAGTTCACTTCTAGGAGCCGCCATAGTGCTCCCCGGATTCCTGAGCTCTCCACAAAGAGTCTTCACTGGACGGCCGGGACAATGGCTGCCGGGGAGGGGTAACGTTTGTTCAACTTTCTGACGAATCCGTGTCCGCTGTGGTGTCCTGTGTATTATCACAATGTTGGGGAACGGGTCCGTCATACGGGGCTTACTGAGAGTACTGAGCCCCCAAGTGAAGGAAGAGCTGAGAGTACTGAGCCCCCAAGTGGAGGAAGAGCTGAGAGTGCTGAGCCCCCAAGTGAAGGAAGAGCTGGGAGTGCTGAGCCCCCAAGTGGAGGAAGAGCTGAGAGTGCTGAGCCCCCAAGTGAAGGAAGAGCTGAGAGTGCTGAGCCCCCAAGTGGAGGAAGAGCTGAGAGTGCTGAGCCCCCAAGTGAAGGAAGAGCTGAGAGTGCTGAGCCCCCAAGTGAAGGAAGAGCTGAGAGTACTGAGCCCCCAAGTGGAGGAAGAGCTGAGAGTGCTGAGCCCCCAAGTGGAGGAAGAGCTGAGAGTGCTGAGCCCCCAAGTGAAGGAAGAGCTGGGAGTGCTGAGCCCCCAAGTGGAGGAAGAGCTGAGAGTGCTGAGCCCCCAAGTGGAGGAAGAGCTGAGAGTGCTGAGCCCCCAAGTGGAGGAAGAGCTGAGAGTGCTGAGTGCTGAGCCCCCAAGTGAAGGAAGAGCTGAGAGTGCTGAGCCCCCAAGTGAAGGAAGAGCTGAGAGTGCTGAGCCCCCAAGTGAAGGAAGAGCTGAGAGTGCTGAGCCCCCAAGTGAAGGAAGAGCTGAGAGTGCTGAGCCCCCAAGTGAAGGAAGAGCTGAGAGTGCTGAGCCCCCAAGTGAAGGAAGAGCTGAGAGTGCTGAGCCCCCAAGTGAAGGAAGAGCTGAGAGTGCTGAGCCCCCAAGTGAAGGAAGAGCTGAGAGTGCTGAGCCCCCCGGTCGGGGAAGCGCTGAGAGTGCTGATTCCCCCGGTCGGGGAAGCGCGCTGAGAATAGTGATGCGGGCCGCGGTGTGGCCGAGGGCAGTGGTTTGCGGGCCGCGGTGTGGCCGAGGGCAGTGGTTGCGGGCTGCGGTGTGGCCGAGGGCAGTGGTCCGGGCCGCGGGTAATGATCTTGGCTGCGGTAGAGCTGGTAGTATATAATCTGGGTCATGTTAGGGTTCATATTACTCATCCAGGTCATAGAAGAGATGCTAGTACCGATCCAGATCATGGTATAGCTAGTAGAGTTGGTAATGCTCACCTGGGCCATGGTAGAGCCGGTGGTGTGTAGTCCAGGTCACAGTACTAATCTGGCTCATGGTAGAGCTGCTATTACCTATCCAGGTCATATAGAGCTAGTAGTATATAAACCATCCATAGTAGAGCTGGTAGTATTTATTTTAAAGCATAGTAGAGCTGGTTGTACTAATCTGGGCCATTTTAAGGTTTCTTATTGCTGGTACAAGTCATGGAATAGCTGGTAGTATTTATCCAGCTCATGGTATAGCTAGTCCTGGTCAAGGTATACCTGTTAGACTCTATCCAGGTTATCATAGAGTTGGTCGTACTAATCCTGATCATGGTATAAGTGTTAGTACCTATCCAGGTCATGGAAGAGCCATTAGCATTTATCTAGGTCATGTAGAACTGGTAGTATATAATCCATCCATAGTAGAGCAGGTAGTGGATAATCTGGGTCATGGGAGAACTGGTAGTACTAATCTGGGCCAAGTTAGGGATCGTATTACTGTTTTGGGTAATGGTATAGCTGGTAGTACTAGTCCTGGTCATGACGTAACTGTTAGCACCTATCCAGATCATGGTAAAGCCGATGGTACTAATCCGGGTAATGGAAACCTGGTAGTACTTATCCTGGTCACAGCAGAGCCAGTGGTATATAACTGGGGTCGCGATAGAGCCGATGGTATATAAGTATAGAGCCAGTAGTTTATAACTGGGCTTGCGGTAGAGCCGGTAGTCACATTTAGCTGACTGTGAATAATTTCCCCTTTGCTCCTAGTCTGGTAGATATAAGCATGGGCAAAGTTCACTCTCCTCAGTTCCGTCAACATTGTTCAGTTCACAAATCGGTCACCGCAAAATAAGGATTTTTTTGTAAAGTATATTTACACCTTTGCGGTCAAGTTGGAGAACCCCCCCCCACTCCCCCACTGTATGTTTGTGTTCCCATTCACACAGCATGCCTAAAATATTTCTTACCTTTTCTAGATTCTTGGTCTTGGGAGCAGATGTATAGAGAAAAATACATAGGCAGCTTGTATTGTCAGCATAGCTTGCAGTGTATAATTAGGAGACAGATTGATTACAAAGTACCAGTAGTACAGACCGGGTTAAATATGGTGAACATAATGCCCCAGCCGCCTTCTTATTACACAGAAAAGGAAAACTTTAAGATTTTTTTCAGCAAGTAAGCATTTTTTGGTCTGTTTTTGTTTACCTCCACTTGGTGCAGCCAGGATTATTAGAACAAACTCCAGAACAGGGGTAACATCACAGAAAACGTATATAAAATCTATAATTCTAACCTTTAACATCTCAGTTTGTACAAAAATCTTATAAAACCTACTTAAAAATAAAAGGTATTGTTATCACTAGCAGCACCACAGCCATATACATAGCCTATGTACCTGTGTGCAGCCATTATTTTTAATGACTAAATAGTTTTTTTTTGTTGTTCTTTGCATAGTTTACACAGTTATATTTTATTTATTCATTTATTGAGCACATTTTTATGAAGCTTTATTAGCTCACAACATACTCTTTCCTGACAGTTGGGTTTATTCTATTTATAGTTCTATTGATGCCCAAGGTAAAAATGTTACATAAGAAATATTCATGTCATTTTTTAAAAGGTGTGTCTGTTTTTTTTTTTTTTTTTTTTTTTTTTTTTTTTTTTCTTTCTCATAAATGTTGCAAGCTAACACATTGTAGCTAAAACTCCTGTTCTGGTTTAAGTTGGCTTGCATAATTAAAAAAAGTTGTTCATAAACCTTGCACTCAATATTCGTATGATAGGTTTATTATTTTTCGGCTTCTGGTAGTAACACACATACCTGCGCCGATGCTAGCTATGTAATTGTTCCATATTGGTTGTCATGTAAACAATACAGAAGCGGTGAATAAAGAGTGTGACTAATGCTAAGATCAGTGTTATTTGCAGCTGTGTGTTTTGCTTAGAGAAGTCTTCTAAGTATAGTAGCCAAAACAAACAGTGTTGCAAATGTACAAAATGAAAGTTCAAATTATAAAAAGGCTCTTCTCAATGTTTTATTGAATGATTCTCTTAGCCAAAAGGATCTGGTAATTGCAACAATGAATGCTTTTCCTTGTTTCTCTGATAGAAATCCACAGTTGTCTTGTATTCAGACCAGTTAATGATGTTTAGAGATGGATAAAGTTTGTGAGGTTGTCCTTCTCTCCTCACGATTGGACATTATGTTGGAATTACTGTGTCCATCCCTTATACTGTAGATTGCTACCATACTGGGATGGAAATTAAATTCGGGCACTTTTAATTGAACAGATGTATTATTTGGAGTATGTAGCAGTTTGTATAAAGGCGGTTTGGAAGGCTAGCTTGCTCCAAATTACTGAATACTGCTTCTCAATTTGTTAGGTTTCTATTCTTGAAATGTATGTTATGCCAGCTCTTGTGGTGAAGCAGGAACAAATCATGAGACAGTTGCTGCCAGCACCATGCTTTGATAAGCACAAAGTAGCTGAACACATTGCTTTCAGAGTTTTGCAGTACTTTAGTCGTGACTGCGTTCTGTAGATTTGTATTTGTATGCTGTGCGTTCTGTAGATTTGTATGCTGTTCTGTTACATAACTTTACATAAGTGGAAGATAAGGCTAATACTAACTGTTCTTTAAAATGTTGACCCCCACCCCTTCCTACACCACACCCCATCCCACGCCACACAAACACACCCCTAACCTGTATTTAAAAAAATCTACGTAGTCACCTATTTTTGATCCGCTCCGATTCAGTTACGTGATCCTGCAGCTCCAGTGAGCGGCTGCACCACCAGTGGCTGGGCCATTGGAAACTAGGTGACGTTGTGTCTTTGGGAATTCACAACTGTTGCCTAGTGTTCCCTTACACAGGGGAGCCAGAGCTTCTGCATCACATGATCAGAATAAAAATGGTACAGCTTTTTCTTTTTTTTTCTTCATACAGGGAATGCAGTATAGACTTTTTTTTTTTTTTTTTTTTTACATAGGGTATGCAGTATAGGTAGGATGAGGGGGGAAGGGAACATTTTTAAGAATATTTGTATTCGCCTTTGCTACCACTTTAAAACAAATGTTAATGTGATGCTAAGTGTTTCTAAGGTGAACTAGTAGAAT